GGAAGGAGTGGCAGAGACAACGTGTGATGAACTGACCGCAACCCCCATTCCCCAGCCCCCTGCGCCGCTCAGGGGGAGGAGGTAAAGAAAATCAGGAGTAAAGTTGAGTCTGGGAAGAAAGGAAGGGTGGAGGGGAAGGTGTTTTAAGATTTGGTTTTATTTCTCATTATCCTGTTCTGATTTTGATTGGCAATAAATTAAGTTAATTTCCCCAAGTCAAGTCTGTTTTGCCCATGATGGTAATTGGTGAGTGATCTCCCTGCCCTTACCTTGATCCATGAGCCATATTGTCTCTCCCCTGTCCAGCTGAGGAGGGGAGTGATAGAGCAGCTTTGGTGGGCACCTGGCATCCAGCCAGGGTCAACCCACCACAATGAGTCAGTACCTGCAGCTGTAAGGACACAGGTCTGCTCACAGGAGCACTCGCCCAGCACCTCAAACAAGCGTTTGAGTACAGAGTTTGATTCAATGTGGTGACAAACAGTATTCAGCTTGTTGGCCTCTGTCCCCAGCTCTCACTGCTGGACCCAGATTGGATCTGAAAAGCAGCAAACTTCAACACCATTTCTACAAATGCAAGCTGCAGAATCTGCAGGCACCAACCTCACATTGGCTGCATGTTCACAGAACAAACAACAGTCAAATTAAATAAAGTAATCTTTTCTCCTTCCCTCCCTCCTCTTTTAATTCAGTATCTGGTGGAATAATGCAGGAGAAAAGGTCAAAATCCCAAAGGAAAATAAAAGATACATTGGCATTACTGTACTACTAAGTTTGCTGAAATTTATGGTATAGACTCAAATGGTTTCCTTTAAGCTATGTACTGACTACACGTCTGCCCTTTTATTAACCGATTTGTCTTATTAGCAGTGGCACAAGCCTGTCAGTAATTTTAGCACAGTGTCAGTAACTGACTGGACAACTTATGAGTAAAACATTCCCCTCTTCCCTGCAGCAAATCTATACTCACTGGTATTGTAGAGAATATAGGTTGATAACACACACGACTCCCAGATAATGAAAGAGCTTTAGATGACACACTTGCCTCAGTCTCATTTTAGAGGAAAAAGAACAGGGGAAAAAAAAAAAAGAAAAAAGGGAAAGAAAAAAAAAAAAGGCCTGAAGAAAGCCCATGAGACCCAAGCCTCTTAGGCTTACTGGCAAGTCTTTAAGATAGCTCTGGAGAGCATTTATTAACTCCCTGGTAAATTCTTTGCTGAAGTCATCACAACAGCAGCCATCACAGGAGGCACTTGAAGGAAGATGACCAAGTAGCTTTACAATGGCAGGCAGCTACAGGCAGCTTCTCCCAACCATGCAGGAAAGCAGAGGGGCCTATTTAAAAGCGTATAGATGGACAATAAAATGTGGCAGGATGAGTCAATGGGATGCTACAGCACAGGCAGACTGTAGAGGGCTCCATATATTTTGGGAGGTAAGTGGAGGCAGAGCAATGGCTTGCGAGATGAATCTTTGTGGCAGTCCCCTGGAGGATGACAAGGCAAGACCGCACAGTATGTGACCGGTGCAAAGCTAGCACAGGACTCAAGAGTGGGGGTCATGAGCCCATCTCAGACCTGCAGCTGCACAGAGAGGTACTTAAAGATCTCACTCGCAGAGTCCATGTGATGAAGACGCAGTCCAGATGCAGAGAAGGAGAGGCCCTAATCAAGTAGGATGCCAGCAAAACAGGACGTCGGAGTGGTTCAGTGATCAAATGAGGGACTGGGGAAGTCTGGGCAGTGCTCATCCCAGCCTAGAAAGATCTTGGTCGCTCTGGAAATAGTAACATTGCACATTACTTGAAGGACCAGAGCAAAAGACTGTTCTGACAGGAACAGGTTACAAAGATTGGGAAAATGTCCTTTCTTTGCAAACTCAGTCAAGCTTTTACAACTGCTTTCAGCTCAGCTCCTGCTGCGTTTCCTTCACAGCTTCAGACGAACAGTGGCTTTGGGAAAGGTGTTCATTCTCTGTGTGCTAAATGCATTAGGCAGAGCAGTCAAATTACAGCACCCATCCAGCTTGTAAGTGGGCTTCGTTATACTGCTGTGTTTCACAGGGGCACAATGAAAACAGCAACATTTCCTGTTCACAAGATGTGCAAGTTATTGGGTTTTTTTAATAACAAATGCAGTAAGAACGCACAAAGAAATTTAAAAGGACCAACACGACATAGCTTGGGCAAAAAGACAAGCCTCCACTTGCTCCAATCAATTGCAATGATTTCTCCTACTGAAGGCACTCTGCAGGACTTTCCAGCGTCTGGAGTATCGACAGTCAGTCTTCTGCCACTGGCTGACCTTTCTCCAAAGTCAATGCTCAGGAACACTCCTCAGTGCTCCAGCATTTTGAGAGCAGCACATTTATCTGAGATCGTCATAACATCTATGAGCCAAGTAGAAGGGGCTGAAATTTTTTCCTTGCAAAGGCTGAACACAGATGGGAGTCTTCAGTGAGCCAAAATAGCAAGTGGCAGAGTAGAAGGGGATTTTTTCCTTGCAAAGGCTGAACACAGATGGGAGTCTTCAGTGAGCCAAAATAGCAAGTCAAGTGAGGGTCACTGGCACATTGACCTAACCCTTACCTTGTCACAGAAGACTTTAATCTGGCAGTAGGCTCTGTGGACAGGTTTGTTACTCCTGTTATTATAGCTGTAGGTGTCGATCTGAAGATTCAGGGGCAGGCCTTTAACTCCCTTCTGAGAGGAGAAATCTGTGCTGAGGCAGTTCACGGAAATGAAAACCTGCAGAAGAAGAAAGCAGCACCCATCAGTAGTGACACACAGACTCCTGGCTAGCTGCTGAGCAAGGGACTACTCAGTGAGTGCCGAGATCTAAATGCTGGTCCTTGCCACTATAAACAGGACCTTGGGTCTTCTGAGAGATCAGGTCAAGTCCCCAAGAAGCGGTATGACATTCTTAATTCTTTATATAAACCATTACAGGGAACAAAGCCACTTTGTCCAGAATGAATTTCAACAAACTCTCCAAACTTTATGAAGACTCCACCCATCTTCTCCAGATATGTCCGTCCAAGAGATCTCAAATGTTGTCATCAAACTTTTAGCAACAGGAATCCTCCTACACCCAACATTCACTGGCCAATGTTTTACCATCTTGGTAAGAACACAACCATGCTTTGAAAAATTTACATTACTTTGGGCAAGTTAAAACAAAGCTTTCCATGAGTTTTACATAAGCCGCCGTGAGCACAGTTTATGCTTGAAACTACTTGGGGTTTTTTGTTGTTGTTTTTTTGTGAATGATATTAAAAGCTTTTAAAAAATATTAGGCAACATGTTGTCTTTAAACACAGGAATAAAGCCATCCTTTCAGTGAAAGAGTTTCTCGGCTTTACACTTAAAAAGATGAACACCATTTTGAATATTCCCCAGTAAGACCTACAATACCCTGTTAGTGTTCAGATCGAAGGGGAAAGAGTAATATTTTCATTATTCTAATACAAAAATGGAATTATGGGAAAAATGAATTGAGTGATTTTCAACCTATCTAATTTGATTTTCATTATTGCCTAAAAAAAAAGCCAAACACAAACCACAACCAGAGAACAAGTCCAATGCTGCTTAACAGAAGGAAGAAATATCCTTTTGCAGATATGAACAGATAGACCAGAGTACTTTGTATCCAGAACATGGGCTTACTGTGTGCTAGGCTTTTCTCCAGACACAATGCTCTTTATTGGCATGTCTCAGAAGAAGCTGCAATGATTAATTACCAGGAATTTATAAGCTACCAAGACCTACAGTGGCTACTGTCCTCTCTGCCTCAAGAACAAAGCTGGGAACCCACTGCTAAAAAAACAAACAAACAAAAAATTTAAAATAAATCAGAGCCTTGGGAGTCAGAAGCACCTTGCCAGAGATTTTGCAGGAATACTGTCCCACCACCTGATCGCTCAGTTATTGCGCTACTACCACAAAGCACCATTTAGACAGACTCTGCAGTGAGTTAGTGCCACCTCCCGGAGCCGTGCCGGTGTTGCAAAGTCTCAAGGTAGGTTTTGAAAAGCTTAGGGGGTTGGGTTGGATTTATGGTTTTGCAAAGTACTTATCATGGGCTTCTTCGCACAGGTTCTGCAACATCCTTTACTAGTTTTAACAAAAGAGGGGAAATGGAAATGTAATAACTATCACCAGATGAGGGATATAAGCTTCCCCCCCCCGCAATATATAACACAGTAGTACAAAAAGCCGGGGCGGGGGTGGGGGGAAGAATAGTATAGATAAGCATCTTCGTTCATAATAACTTGTCTGAATGTTCAAGATTCACATGCAATTTCTTGCAGCCCCTGTGAGCACCAGCTGCCCCAGAGCAGGGAGACAGCTGCCAGCACATCAGCTCGGCAAACAGTCCCCATCCCTTCCCTTGTGCACACATGCCGTCTCACAGAGCTGGCAATGCCCCCGCCGAGTCCCGCTTGTGCAAAGGGAAATTGAAATGTGTAAAACAACGCCTAACTCAGGCCAGCCTGGCATGCCAGCAGAGCCCCATCCCCAGGCACCCCAACCTGCACTGCTTGTTCTGCGGTGGCCCAAGCCAGGACAACGCACAGGGACAGCAGCGCTGAAGGCGAGCCAGCGCTCAATGCTTGCTCACCCTCCAGCCTGTGTCTCAGCATCCCAAACCCGTGTTGTTCCAAGACGGCTTTTTTTGAAAGCGTTAAATACATCCCAAATCACAGCCAGGAAAATTATTTTAAAATAAGCTCTTAAAATAAGCCATCAAATGATGGCTTTGCCAGCTTTTATCCACCCCCCTTCCCTTTTTGCTACCTTCAGCTTTAAAAGGGCATTTTGCTTGCAGTGCTGGCACACCCCGGGGGAAAGCTTCCAGGAGTTTGAAGAGCTGCTTTTCACTCACTTCGGAGCTACGTAATCAGACGTATGCACAGCCTGAATAATTGTGTTCCCTGAGCAGGGGTTTTGTTTTTTAAAAAGAGCCTCAGCTCTGGTGTTTGCATATTTTTACATTTTAAATTTAAATTTAAAATTTATTTACCTATACTGAATATTCACACACAACTCTCACGTCTGTATGAAGAAATGACTGTGTTCTTCAAGAAAACATGTCTGAGCAGCCATGCCAGCAGGTCCACCACAGCCTCAAAATTTCTGTGAAATCCCTCGTTTGAGTTTCACACCACTGAACACCAGCAGACTCGACATGCAGCATCGGCCACCAGTTCCCTAGCAAGTGGTCTCACTTCTTTACCAGATAATTCAGGTCTATGTTTTCAGTTTTCATGGCTTACCAGCCACGCAAAGCCCACGCAGCACGCTGGGCTCAAAGTAGAAGCATTGGTCTCAGCACAACAGATGCATGCTACGGCAGCAGAGCTGCATGGGTATCCCATGGGAATTTGGGATTGCCTGTCAGATGACAAAGATTATACTCCTACTCTGGAGTCTCCTCATTTGATTACTTTTGGCTTTAAGCAGCTGACTTCATTTTCATGCCATTTAAGTCTTCGGGACTTTGGGCAGGAGATGACAACTAAAACCTAATCACCTCTCTGAAGCAACAGAGAGCCAGCCTGTCTCCTCCTGTTCACACAAAGCCGTTGCAGTTCAAAAGGATCATCTACTTCTCCCTACCCATCCTGTAACTCCTATTTTTGAGCAACCTCAGGTTGCCTCAAGTCCCACAAAAATGGAGTTTTAGCGAACAGCTTTTTCAGTTTGGGTTAAAACAGTTTCAAGCCAGGTGCGTTCTGTTCAGGAAGATTTGACTTGCGTTCGAAAAAGAAACGTAAGGCCAAGTGACTGCGCCAGCTACATCCCCACCCCAAAATTGCCAGAAGAAAGAAAAACGTAACCGCAGAAGTTGCTCTGCGTCTTCAGCCTGCTGAGCAAGATTCCTTTTCATGTGTCCAACCTATTTTTCTAAGGGCAGTTCCGCATTCTCAGCTATATTAAGATTTGTTGTTACTTTTTAAAAAAAAAAAAATTTTCATCTCACCTCCCAAGATTCAACATAAAGACGGCACTTAAAAATAGAGCATTGTCAAGCCCAAGCACTTACAAACATGAATCAAGCCCTCAAAAGTTACGCAGATTTTCTTTAAAACTGAGATTTCTAAAAGGATTAGAAACCTTTTCTCAAGTTATTTCGCTTGCTTGGCAGTTTAGCCTTTAGTCTATATTTGAATCATATTTCCAGGCTTTTCTCTCCAACCAAAGCCAGGCTTTGTTTTCCTTTTCTTTTTTGTTGATTTTTTCTTTTTTTTTTATTATTATTATTAATGAAAGCTGATATTCTCATCAAGACAAATGGCTCCACAATGGCAAGGTTTAAAGATAAAACACCAAACAGCATGAAACCTGTGAGCTGGTACGAGCTGTTAACCCCCCCACATCTGGCAATGTTCACCCCAACACGCTACAGACCCTCCTCCACCCAACACCAGGTTGGGCTTCCTGCAGCCTTTGTGGCCGACGAGCAGCAGCCCAGCTGCACACAATGAAAGACTGAAGGCAGAAGGATTAAAGCACCTCCTTCGGGATCACGCTGGAAGTCAGTGTGGGAAGAAGCCAGACCTCATGACTTCCCGGTCTGCTTTAACCACCCAACCACTCGTGCCCCTCCTCGCCTAACTCAGGAGAAACACACCATGCCTACGTTCAAATCTACGAGAAACAATCTTCCATTTTAATAATGCAGGGAAAAAAAAAAAATTAATCCGGCAGCTCTGCCATGTGCCCTCAAGGAAGGGCAGCAGAGACAGCCAAGTTCTTTCCACACAGCACCTTTTTCTAACAAGATCTGCCTTTCAAACAAACCAGGAAAAACAGGCATAATTAAAGGGCAATCAAAGCACTGCAGGAACCTCGCTGTCAGCGAGATGAAAGATGCCTTTTTTAAATGAAGGGTTGCATACCCAGATCTCTTCTCCTTGGTTTATCTTGGACGCCGTGCTCTTGTCACACAAAAAGCACCAGCAATTTTGATTAGTCCAAAGGCTACATATACAGCAGCTTTAGATGAAATGTCACCTTGTACAGCCTCTTCTGACTCACTGCAAAGCAAAGTTGAAAAGGAACGATATGTAGGTACACATCAACAATGTCTGGGGTTGCCATAGGTAATGGCAAGCAACTCGGATGGGTATTAGCACACTGTAAGCTCTGGCCAGTCCCCAGCAAACACAGGCATGAGTAGACTCTAACGGCCACCTAACAGATCTCCCCGCCGTGCAGTCTTGTACGTGCTTCTGGATAAGACCCTACACAGACGGACTTGGGACTATTCCAGTCTGATCACCTCACTCCTCAGCGCTTTCATTTCAACAGAAGACAGATAAATTGAATTCACTTCCTCCTATTTATGCTCCATTATATTTTTGTACCCAGAGGATGAAGACATCACTCAATAATCCAAGTCCATTGGGTATTTCTTTCGCTATTGAGAATTCAGATAAAACTTTAGCTCTTTTCTAACACTACTAGGCAAAAGCCTCTCATTTTAGTGTCATTTTCAACTTAAAATTGTCAGGATGCTTTTGATTTTGGATTACTGTGTTTGGACAGAATACAGAGTTTGGAGCCTCAACATAACAACCAGGGACAGGTTAAACTGCGATGAGCTTCCTTCCAGGGAATGCAGTTGGATACTATTTTTCTTGACCTTGGCTAAATGATTTCAATGTTCTGCCCAAGACACAGTAGGCAAAGGGATTCCAGTGCGTCCTGGGACCATCTCTCCAACACAAAGGCAGTGTCTCACC